TGAACCAACAAGGGATGGTGACCCTGCATGTCATGAACCAACAAGGGATGGTGACCCTGCATGTCATGAACCAACAAGGGATGGTGACCCTGCATGTCATGAACCAACAAGGGATGGTGACCCTGCATGTCATGAACCAACAAGGGATGGCGACCCTGCATGTCATGAACCAACAAGGGATGGTGACCCTGCATGTCATGAACCAACAAGGCATGGTGACCCTGCATGTCATGAACCAACAAGGGATGGTGACCCTGCATGTCATGAACCAACAAGGGATGGTGACCCTGCATGTCATGAACCAACAAGGGATGGTGACCCTGCATGTCATGAACCAACAAGGGATGGTGACCCTGCATGTCATGAACCAACAAGGGATGGTGACCCTGCATGTCATGAACCAACAAGGGATGATGACCCTGCATGTCATGAACCAACAAGGGATGGCGACCCTGCATGTCATAAACCAACAAGGGATGGCGACCCTTCATGTCATGAACCAACAAGGGATGGTGACCCTGCATGTCATGAACCAACAAGCCTAAAAACTGCTGACATAATTAAACTGGACATCTCATAACTGAATTGACACTTTCTATTCACTGATGTGCCACAAAATACATTTATAATCTTGACCTTTATAGAAATAATAAGTCATTTTGGATCATGGACTAATTTATATATATAAAATTGAAGCAAATTGTTATGATGACAAAGTAAACATGGTTTTATTTTCTTAATCTTCTTTAATAGTACATAATAAACATTTTATCATGGTAATTTATTAAAAATTTGAGCATAGCCCCATTTTTGCAGACTAATTAATGGTATTATAGTATCTATGATAAATACATTGTATTTACCTGGAGTGCCAGCAGCTGCTGGTTTTAAATTCTTACGAGCATCAACAATGTTTTTCAAACTAACTTCAACAGTTTTTCTATCCTTCAGACTTTTATCACTGTCTGACACTGGGTTCACTTCTTTTCTTGTAATTCCAAGAAGTGGGGGAAGTGCTGGTTGAGGTGGTGGTGGGGGCGGGGGTGGTGGAGGTGGTGGTGCAGAGATAGGTGGTGGTGGTGGAGGTGGTGGTG